GCAAAACACAATGCTTCCGCCGGATTATAAACGTCCTGCAACGTTACCAAGGGTTGCTGGACGGATTGTGAGTGAAATTGGGGAAGAGATGACGGGACGGACTCCTACTGCGACACCAGGTTCACTGCAGCGAAATCAATCTTCATCCACCTCCTAACTCATTCGCTGGGACTGCTTTTCTACTCCTAATGATCTCTGCGATTTTCTATATCGTAAACTGGACACGATACGAAATAACGTAATTCTTTAACTGGATTTTAAGCTACTGGCGACATTGTAAAGGTTGCTGACTGGGTTCTGCACAAGGCGAAGGGGGAGGGAGTGAGGACTGATGAGCACCAGTACAGGGCTGGACTCTGTACTTAGCAATTGAATGTGTTTTTTATCTTGTACTTTTTTTTTGTAAATGTGTACATAAATACTCGTCCTTAACTGTAACCCAAATCCGTCCAAGCCAACGGATAGTGATCATATCGCCAGGACATACTAGTGCTCATAACTGATTTCAATTTTGTATAACAAGAAGACTGTCGGATTTATCAACAATTCATCTACTTGAAAGACACACCTGAAGGTACCTCAAGTAAACTACAATTTACGCTGCCTTCCCTTGGTAGGGTGTCTCATTTGAGTTTCGTTCGTATTATGACTTTACCAGCTTCAACATAGATGTTGTAACACACTCCGGGACCTCATGAGCCAGACGTACACCTACTGCACATTCGGCGCTTCAAAGTTGGAAGTCATCACCTCAGAGCTCTCAGTGTCCATCACAGGGCTCAGAGCTTTGATGGCCTCTGCTTTGACCACGAAGGCTTGGTTTTCTTTAAAAATGCAGACATTCCATCCCGCGCCTCCTCCGACTGAAGCATCTTTGTAAAGACTTCCTTTACATGTGGGATCGCATCTTCATGTGCGGGCGATTCAGAAACCAATCGCACGAGGTGTTTGACATTCGTCAGTGCTCCAGGAGCTCCTTCGATCAGCAAATCAGAGTACTTTCTCGTACATGTATCCAAAGCCACCTCGTCATCCACTACTTCGGATAAGGCACCAATGCGAAGGCATTCCTTGGCGGTCACCTTCTCTCCTGTCAACATGTACTGACGGGTTCGAAATGGACCCAGCTGGGGCGTAATATACAGCGATATTATGGCAGGGACAAGTCCTCTCCGCACTTCAGGGAACGAGATATACGCGGATGCGACAGAGACTCGGATATCGCAGCAAAACAATACACCGACCCCGCCGCCCAGGCAAGGACCGTTGACGCGAGCAATGACCGGCTTGGGTGAATTTGCTATTGACTCAAAAAACCTGTAGCCGGCCTCCACCTGCGGACTCGAAGACCTTCCGTTTTGCGCTGTTGACGAGCCCCCCAAGTCCATTCCTGTACAAAAGTACTTGCCTGATAGTGTTTCGTCGATTACGGTTGTGTCACGATATTATGATACTCGCTGAATGAGACTTACATACCAGTGCCGGTCAGAACAATAACCCTGACGACAGGATCTTCATTCGCACGTGCAAAGGCGTCTGGTATTTCCTTTGACATTGTACTCGATATGGCATTCGCTCGTTCAGGATAGTTGAGCTACACCGTTGAATGAATGGCGACATTTAGCAAATAAAGTCCCCTAGATATGCAGACAATTGCAAGATGTTGCGGCACATGAGACTCAGACGCTCACCGTGATCGTAGCCACACCATCATTGACAGAGTACAGGATTTGTTGATATGGAGCGGACATGGCGGATATTGTCCTTTGGGAGGTCGCATCAACCACATCTAGTGGCCTGCTGCGCACAGGAACAGGTCTCTGAGTCATAATGAGTCATGACGGTGTGCTCTTACGAGGGTTCTGCTGGCTCCTTTTGTCCTTGTGCTTCTCTCTGGCCTTTACGGTCTGTCCTTATCCAGCCATGTCCAACCCAGCTGTCCGTCTGGCATCTATTGCCCTTCACCTACAGTCAACCGGAGCCAGTCGCTCTGGTGGAGCCGGTCATTCGTTCGAAGTTAGCCCGCGACCAGAGGTATATTCGATACGCTAGGTATTCTCAATATGTTCAGGAATGGCTTATTCTCTTTGGTCTTTCAGCTGAACCAGCCGATGGCAGATATCCTACGCGAGAGAAAAAATGCCTCGTTTGATGTGAATCTCATGCAGACATATTTAAACGGAGGGAAGGAATACACCCAGGCAAAGGTACGGTGCTAACTTGGATCAACGTAAAGTTACAAGGAGGAAAATGCAACAAGAGTAGTTAGACTACTTTCTATATACCATGATGCACTCTCTTTCATGGACGTTTATAAAGCTATCTGTCTTTCATAGGAAATCGCGTATCAGATCATCCGACGCGATCCAATTCTCTTGTTCGATGGAGGAAACGACTACGATCTTACGCGACCGGAAGCGCGAGAGAAAAGTATGGCACAAGTCCGCCGGTTTGTGGAAATATACCATAGCCTGAAGAACCCCATTCAACAGAAGGCATTTGAGGTCGTTCTATCGTACGTGTCCACGTCCGTATGGGGTAACCAGACCTTTCCGATAACCTAACATCCGACTTGTGCAAAGGTCCTACTCAGAGTCCTTTGGAATGCGTCTCTATGTGCATCATATGCTATTCAGAAACTCTATCAAGATGTTTGCGAGTGAGGAGCAAAAGAAAAAGACGACATGGGTGAAAGATATCGACGACTTTAGCGTGCTGGGGTGCTTTGCCATGGTAAGTGGAAAGCACAGCATAGCCTCCATGTCGTGAACCTCAAAATCTCAAACATTTCTCCTTGTCAAAGACGGAGCTCGGTCATAGGTATCCGAGCCCAATTTTTGTTGGATCGCCAGTACCCACTTCTAATATGTACCAACTGGTGTTTGAAGCTCGTCCCTTCGAGATCTGGAAGCCACTGCGACTTTTGATCACGCTACAGATTCGTTCATTCTCCACAGCCCGACATTAACCAGCACGAAATGGTGGATCGGGATGTCTGGCCAGGCTGCTACACATACGGTATTCCTAGCCCAAACGATCGTCAAAGGCAAAAACTGTGGTCTCAACTGGTTTATGGTCCCTCTTCGCGATCGGCATACTGGGAGGTTGTTTCCCGGAGTAACCTGCGGAGATATTGGAGCGAAAGCAGGGCGACATGGACTTGACAACGGATGGATCCAGTTGACGCAAGTGCGAATCCCAAGAGAAAACATGCTGATGCGCTGGTCGCAGGTTAGTTACCTATAACTCAAGTTATTTGTAGTAGGTGTATTCGTTAATTAAACAAACCTGCATAATGGCAGATCGATCGTGAAGGGAATATAAGCGAACCTCCAAACCAGGCTCTTGTGTACGTCTATCCTTCGGTCGCTCTGTATCTGTACATGCTGACATAGAAACTTCTAGATATGCCACACTTATCGCAGAGCGTCTCTGTACAGTTGATGGGACAAATAATCTCTGTGGACAAGCCCTGACAATTGCCACGAGATATAGTTGTGCACGACGCCAGGGAACTAGCAACCAGCAGATTATGGACTATCAAACACATTATGTCAATTTGATGCCCGGAGTTGCCGGAATGTATGTCTTGTCGCTGGTGGATCGGTATGTAACTCGCTCTCCCAGCTCCCGCATTGTTTTTGGCTTCTGACCTTTTTCCTATGGTCACCAGTTGTCTCTGGGCGTACTGGGATCGCATGGAGGAACTGTCTCGTACAAACACCGAGGAATATTTGTACGTTATTTTTTCAGTCCAACATTCACATCGTACACATTAACGACGCGAGTGCTTATAGGCAGTACCTAAATGACATCCATTGCGTCGCCGCGGGTGCAAAAGCTTCCATTACTTGGTGGGGTTCTGAAATACTCGAACGATGCCGAAGAGCGATGGGTGGACATGGGTTTAGCGCGTACAGTGGGATTCCGTCTATTATCGGCGACTGGGGAGTATTTACAACAGGCGGCGGGGACAACTTTCCTCTGGCGCAACAAACCGCGGTATATAGCCTCTTCTGTATCACAGACGTAGAGACTGCTCATTGACTTTGATTCATTCAGCGATATGTGCTTAATTGCGTCAACAGATCAATGCAAGGAAAGCCCAACTTTGGAAGTGCCGAGTACCTCAAGGATATCAAGGCCATCCTCGAGTTTAATGTGTGCCCAGCCGATTCATCCGCCGCGTGGTTGGATTTGCCTTTACTGCAAAGACTCTTTGCGTCTTTGACCGTCAAGCTGGTACGTCTTTAGGCAAGTGAGATGTGGAAGCATTTTTTCAAACTAATGTGATGGCATTATCTAGGCTATGAGAATTGGACAGCGCTTGGCACCGGTTGCTAAGAAGGGCCAAGATAAAGTCGAAGCTGTGTGGAACGAGCATCAGCTTGACGTTCTGCGCCTCAGGTGAGATTACGATGCGACCTCTTAATTAGGACTGCTTCCGAATGATTATATTGGCTGATGATTTTTGTCTCTGCGCCGAACGCCAGCCACCTCCACACCATCCACTACCTGCTTTCCCTCTTCACATCCAGCGTCAGCTCGCTTGGATCCGAATACACTAGCTTGAAACCCATCTTGACAAAAGTCGGGCTTACATGGGCGTTGGACATGGCTGTCCGTGACCTGGATTTGATGTTGGAGGAAGGGTTTGTTACCGCTGCCCAAGCACAGAATTTGAGAGTGGCGAGAAATGGAATCTGCAAGGAGCTGAGAAACGATGTTATTCCCTTAATGGATGGTACCGTTGTTCAGCCATTTCTAATGCCATTGTAGTATCTAAGAATTATGACTAATTTCCCGCTTTTCTGGTCATATCTATGTAGCATTTGGAAGACCGGATTTCCTCTTGAAGAGCCCCTTGGGACGGTACGATGGAGATATTTACAACGGTAATGCCTTTGTTTCACGCTTCTCCATTGTTGACCGCGACAGTTCCCTCTGTATTTACTATTAATGGTTTTCTGCAGCCTACTTTGACACTGTTACTAGAGCTCCCAACTGCTATGGCCCTGCCAATTACTGGAGTACGGAAGTGGAACCGCTCCTTACACGGGTCCGACCTTGATGTCTATTATAGAGATGACTTTTGGGGGGAAATTTTGTAAACAAGGGATAAGAAGGACTGCTAATCCTAAATACTTGTAAAATGGTAAATGTCTATGCCAGCAACCATTGGGTATTCCCTACAATTGCATATTTGAAAAGCTGTGAAGTTGTACAGTGATCGCCGTTGACGCGACACGACGACGCGACACGTACGTTGTAGTTTGTGATAGTACTGAGGACTCTGGAGACCACAGACATCACAATTTCGAACTGTCCTTTTCCACACACAATGTCCGTCGCTCAGGCGCCACCTTCCAACGGACATCAATATCGTCGGATAAAGTCCAAGGTCGATACGTCCCGCCCAGAATACACGGCCAATCATGCCGAAATGTCAGGGCTGGTGCAAGAGCTCCGCGAAAGGTTACGGGAGGCTACGGGACAGGGACGAAAAAAAGTGATACAACGGCATTTGGAGAGAGGGCAGTTGCTGGGTATGTAGATATGTTCTAGACTGTCAATACTGGCCGTACGTGATGAAATGAGGACTCCCCAACGTCCGCGACCGTTTGACTTGGAAAACTAAAGGAACCAACTCCCCCTTTTGCTTTTGCAGCTCGCGACCGTATTGAACTCTTGATAGATGAAGACTCTCCATTCCTCGAGTTGATGCCATTGGCAGGCTGGGGACAGGAAGATATGACCATTGGCGGCTCTACAGTTGCAGGCATAGGCCTCGTTTGGTGGGGACACAATCATACGTTTCGCTCTTGTTTTAAGCCCTTGAATAAGACTTGGAGTACTCCAAAACAGCGGTGTGGAAACTCTTATAGCTGCAAATATACCTACCATTGCAGGCGGTGCAACCAATGAAGCGGGCGTGAAGAAGGCACTAAGGCTTCATGAAATTCAGATGGAGAATCGGCTGCCTGGGATCTGGCTCACGCAATCGGTATGATTGTGCTCTAGTCAGCTGCAGGCGCATACATTATCCCTAATACCAAAGCGGTGTGAAGGCTGGTGCAAATCTAGGGCAGCAATCCCAAGTATTTCATGCAGGAGGTGGAAATTTCCGAAATTTGGCCATTCGGTGCGTACTGCGATCACGTCTCAGGCCTGTACCAGTCCTGTCTTACACTTATTCTTGGCGTATCTCAGGTCTAAAGCCAACATCCCAACCTGCTGCGTTGTTTTCGGTAGCTCTACTGCCGGCGGTGCGTACACCCCGGGAATGTCAGATTATGTTATTATGGTCAAGGTACTGTCTCGCACCTCACCTTGGTCGCATACACGTGTACGCTCACTGCTGATATTTTGTACTGTTCAGAATCAAGCCCAAGTCTTTCTGGGTGGGCCTCCACTCGTCAAGATGGCCACTGGTGAAGTCGTTGATGCTGAGTCTTTGGGTGGCGCGGAAATGCACAGCATAAAGTCTGGTAGGAGCCAGCTCCGTAACGGTTGAAAAACGTGCGCAGAATTCTGATTGCCGTCCCATATCAAAATAATACGCAGGCCTCTCTGATCAATTGGCCGACGATGAGCTGCATGCCATTCGCATGGCACGTGAGTGGGTCGAAGGCCTCAACTGGGAAAAGGCCGGTTCACTTCCTATGACACACATCACGGGCCGTTTTGAGGAGCCGGTTTATGAATCTGGTAAGTCTTGCAAGTCGCAGCGCCAGCTCAATTCGATGTTGCTCACGAAGAGGCTACTGTGTGTCCATTAGAGGAACTTTTAGGAATAGTACAAGCAAACATCCGTCTCCCGTTCGAATGCCGCGAGGTTATTGCGCGAATTGTTGATGGTAGTCGGTTCAGCGAGTTCAAACCGCTATACGGAAACAACCTTGTTACCGGGTTCGCCCATGTATACGGTTAGCTGATGATCGAATGCCCTATTACAGATACCGGTGGAAACTAGACATTTTCTCTCTATGAAGGAATTCCAATCGGTATTATTTCGAATAACAGCGTCATCTTTCCAGAGGAAGCAAATAAAGCCACTCAATTCATACAACTGTGCAATCAACGGTAGGGTGCACTGTAGTGTTGTATTCGATTGCAAACTGCAGTCCATTGATGGCTGGCCGTAAATATCTAGATCAACACCCATCCTCTTCCTTCAAAACATCACTGGATTCATGGTCGGACGCGTATACGAGGAAGCAGGGATCATCAAGGCGGGTGCCCGATTCATTAATGCGGTATCAAATAGCTGCGTACCACACATAACTATCAACATGGGCGCAAGCTATGGGGCCGGGAACTACGCTATGTGTGGACGAGCATACCGGCCAAGGTAGGTTAATGTGTCCGAGGATGTAATATGTGCAATGACAGCATCTTACGCTGACATTCTTTTATGGACAGATTTTTATTTTCTTACCCAAACAGCAAGTGTTCTGTTATGGGACCCGAGCAACTAACGGGTGTCATGGACATTATTGCTCGTGAAGCGGCTGCTCGGTAAGTCAGTTGCACACTTGTGGTCACAAGTAAGAGGTTACTAACCAGTACTTCACTCTCTATCGTAGAGCGAATCGCAAGGTGGATGAAGAAGCCCTTGCAGCACGTCTGGAGGTTTTTAGGTCCGCCGTTGCTGAGGAACAGGATGTGTACTTTACGTCATCCCGACTGTTAGATGATAGTATCATTGACCCAAGGGACACCCGGGACATTCTGGGCATTTGTCTCAGTGTTATTTATGGGGCTGAAGTGAAAGGCGGGAACTTGTATGGCGTTGCTAGGATGTGAGAGTAGACCTCTAAAGCTGGCTGCAGTTGACGGACTCATTGAGTGGTGGACAGTCATGCAGCTTCAACTAGCTAGTTAGAGAACAATCAATGGAGAAGAACTCGAGTTCAGTACATACGTTCATGACGACGAGACAAAAATAAATATTTCACTTCCAGGTATGCAACAGGAGAAAACTGCGAAGGGGGCAAGGTGATTTTTGCTTTGTACATACAAATATGCATTACATAAATGCAACTTGAAAAAAAGGACCAGGTGAAAGCGTCTATGGGTGCTGTGAGATTCGAACTCACGCCTCCGGAGAGACTACGACCTGAACGTAGCGCCTTAGACCAACTCGGCCAAACACCCATGCTGAATTAAGTCTTCTCTAAAACTTGTATATTGTCATGCGGCGTTTGCCCGCTCAACTATACATTGACAAGTGTCTCCCATTATCCCCGTATTGATGACATTGTACCCTAATCGACACAACATTGTTTCTGGTAAGACCTGGAGAGTGTCCCTCAAGAATATCTCGAAATAGTTACCGCAAACGAAGCCCAGGCTCAAAAGTATGTCCTCCGGTTAGGTATGGGAGGCGTTTAGTAATGTACTGGGAGATGATGACAAAGGATTCCATGCCTGAAAACGTAGACGCTTGCGTATCCTCACGAGGATATGTTACTCCAAATAATTTTAACGCCGAGATAGCTAGATGATGGTTAGGATCATGTATATTTTTGGTTATTTCGGCTTGGAGTAGAGACGAGGGCTGTATTTCAATAAAAGGATGCGCGAGCTGCCTTTAACTTCTTTGCACACGTTAGAGATTTTGCTCGCTTAAGGAACTTTGTTGAAATAAAATATGGAGTCAAACCGTTGTTCAGTTTACGGTGATAGTCCGGGAACGCCTACCTCTGCGACAGCCAAGTCGCCATTTTTGGGAGAAGGGCGTGCTAGACGGGTGACGGTTGGTGAATGTGATAATCCACGACGGTCCGTCGCAGAAGAGAATGGGCAACCAAGAGAGAGGAAGAAACTTTGGCGGATACCTTTTGTTGTGCCAATGATCTGTATGTTGTCTTTGTGGGTGTGCTTTAGAGTTATCCTGAAATTGTGATGGTGTTTCTCATTGGTGATGGTTATCAGCGATTCCCGTTCTCATATCTGTTGTGGCAATCTCCATCATTGGGTTCATGGCATTCAAAGGGGCAGACCAGACTGTCGACGAGAGTAAGTTTTGCTTTACCCGCAATATAGAGTTGATTCTGTCGATGCTCAAATCATCTTGTCCTTCACCAGTTACCGAGACCTTACAGGACATTACAATGGATCGAGTTTATGATAGTGTAACATCCCTCGTTCAACAATGCTCTGATGCCCTTACGATTCTCGGACGTTCTCAGCCATCCTACGGCTCTTCCAAAGGATTGAATCCAATGTGACCAATATTTTATCGGATGATGTTACTGTGTAGGTTGCATATTTTTTTCGTTTCCATATGTCCGCTAAGAAGATAACATGCAGCCCATAGCATCTCCCAACTGTACGCGGTTGCGGCAACCTATGACTTTCTAACCTCTGCTGGCTTGGAAGTCTATCGTGACGAGAGTGTGATCTTTGCTACACCAAAGGTGCTCATGTTGCAGGACGGCTCATCCTATAACAACGTGACAAATGTCACCGATTTTGCCGTAAGATATGTCACTGGAGTCAATAATTATAGTGAAATGCAGTTTGGCCCACTTAACCGCTTACCGTGGCATTACTGGCAATCGGTAAGATTCGATGGTTATCATTGAATGTTGGGAACAAAATAGCTACCAAGGGCAGGAAACTAACTTTACCTTCTAGATTGAACTCCCTTCGTTTCCCGATGGAAACAGTACTACGGTCTGGTCTGACTATTATGTCGGTTTAACCGAAATTTACTACCCCATCAAATGGCCAATATGGTGGGTACTGTGTAGTATATTGATGTTTGGCATATTGTTTGTTATAACACGAAGCTCTGACGCAACCAAACATAGGGCTGGCCTTCCTTTTGGCAAGGCGGATCCCGATGTCCCGCCTTTTGGAGCTGTGACATTAGCACTTTCGGTGACCAGTATTCAACGCATTCTGAGCAAGGTCTACGTTAGTCCTAATGCAGTTGTCGCATTGTGGTACGGTCCTTGTCTCTAAATTTCCTTCAGTCGCAAGTGCGCGGGTGTACTTAATGGTTATTTTCTGCAACAATTAGGGAACCAAGCGCAAACAGCAGTGTCTACTTTCACATGATTGCTGCCAGCGTGCCCAATATCAGCATACACGCCGGGGACCGCTATTCCGCACTCGACTGCCCTCATAAGCTGTTATCGCAAGTCGCGCGTCGCTTGCAGTTGATTTACCCCAACTCCACTGCTTTCCCCAATGAAATGTGGACAACTTTTAATGACTTGCCGGACGGCGATGGGACCATTCTCGTCAGCGCACGATGGATTAGTAACATTGTAGACCCGAATGGTTTCAAGTGGTTAGTTGTCGCCGTGATACCAAAGAACGACTTTCTAAAGACAATGCAGCAAACCCGTAAGCGCGTTATTGGAGCTGTTGCCGGTACAACGGCAGCAATGGCAGTTTTTGCGATCATCATGGCCTACTTTCTGGTTTCTCCTATCAAGAAACTCTCCCAAACAATGATCCAGGCAACCGACGTTGACTTTTCCGCTATTCGCGATGGATACTTGACCAAAAACAGTATTTTCGAACCACTGGAAATCGCACAGTGCAAAGAGGTCTTTAACATTATGTTGACCCGATTTGCGAAAGCCATTCAGATCAATAAGAGCTTGCAGGGAAACAGAGCACCAGCACTGGCATCAGCTCTGGTGTCATCTACGACTCCGCAGGCAAGGACTCAAAATAAGAGGTTGTCGGAGGTTTCTGGACAGAGTGGGGCCTCGGAGGAAGGACAAAGATAGTTGACACCCGGTGTCCGCATTAAAGGCTATTCCAGTGCCTGTTTGAGTGGACTTTTTTTTAGTTGAGATTTGTTTTATTTTCCTTGCTGGACGACTGAGTAAAGAATAAGGCATACCCACTTACGCACATCGGTGATTTGATTTTAAGCCTAGCGAGAGACTGAACAGGCCAGTAAATCATCCAATAGATGTTCTAATCCTTGGCTGTCAAGTTTACACCACACTATCGTGAGGGTGTCGCTGCTTGACAGGATATGTAGTCTCTGTGGGCTTTGATTTGTCAGATGTATCAAAAATTCGAGATACAAAAGACTTATAGTATCATACTTCATCAACATATCTTTGGTCTGGATATAATGGGAGACATTGACCTTACAAAAACAAATGCCGTTACTTGCTCGTGATGGAGATCCTCGTCAAAAGAACCTTGGTAAGATAAAGCAAATCTAAATCACAAGTGTTTTCTTGCTCGCACATGAGTACGGCGAGACTTCCAACTCTGCTCAACCAGACTTTCAATATCACTGTATTTATGGTGAAGCCAATGATGTGGGCGAGTCGTGACTGACGAAGCTTGCATATCTTCTACGATATCGTTACAAAGGTGCATTACGAAATAAGCGCTCAGATTAGCTGTGGAGGACACTGGACCCGCATGTGCATTATGCTATCGATAGTCGCAATTGAGATATGCGGTAAAACAAGTACGAAGCTCCCAACCCTATTCATCCATGTAGCGGCCACTGGTTCTCTACTGTGTAGTAAAGGCTTCTCGTACTTTAACCCCAGTGGCTCATAAGATCTACGGCCAAGAAACCATTCTTCGTCCTCAACTTGGCACACTAAACATCTTTTCAAATGGGAGCGACCAGATCAGTTACATCGTTCAGGTGGAAAATAGATGCAAGAAATTCCAAAATATGTAAAGTTTCAAGTCACTGCTTCTATGACGGTTTTCCAGTATTTTTCCAGTATTTTTCCAGACTCTTTCATACATCTTCAACATAAAACCAGTACTTTGAAAACCTTTGATATATTCAGCACTTTGTAAATTCTCCAACTAAAAACCCAACGTCCAAATCGCAACTTCACTTTGCACGCTGACTTTTCATTTTCCAAACCGCAATCGCAATTACAGAAGAGCCCACTACAGCACTCCCAATCAAAGTCCACACACTCGGTTGGACTCCCCACAAGGCCCACTCGGCCAAGAACGCCACAACGACTTGGACATAATTCATACTGCTTGCCCGTCCGGCTGTTTCGATGTGTAAGGCTTTTGAAAGATAGATTTGACCAAAGAATGCAGAGCTTGAGACGAGGACGAGGTACATGTAAGTTAGCGGGTCTTGTGGGAGGATCCATGGGTGTGGGGAGGGGAGAACGAGTGCGAATAAGAGGGACAGGGGAACGGACATGAGAGAGAAAGTTGAAACAATATGCATGGGAGTCGCTCGGCCTTTGAGGCGACGAACAACAATGTAGACAAGGGCTCCAAACAAAGCACCCGTGATGGCTATGACAACTCCCAAGATGCGCGTTCCTTCGTTGGATGCGGCTACAGTTGCGGCTGCGGTTGCAGGAGTCGATGATGTGGGGTCCAAAACGGACGGATAGCCTTGAGCAAACTCGGAAGCAGTAGAAGGATCATCCGGAATTTGTTCGGACCCGAAATCAGATGGTCCGGCTTGTAAAAGGTCATCTGGCGTAGCGTCCACGGCTGTGCGTCCAAACAAAAAGGACGGACGAGCAATGAATATGACCCCGATCATGGATAAAGCCCCAGTAATCCCGTCAATCAGCTAAAAAGTTTGACTAATGTTAGAGTTTTTCCGTGATATCGAAGTCATGATAGATGATTACGCCGTTACCTCATAAGGTTCCTTTAGAATGAATCGAGCGAGAATGGCTGTAAAGACTGGTGACAAGAATCCAAGAACTGTTGCATCCGCCAAGTTGAGCATAGATAATGCAAACCATCCACACGTCAATCCACCAAACCCAATAACGCCTCGCAGGACCAACTACAATTCAAACATCACAGTCAACAATCAGGCGCTACTGTTGATATCAAGCCTGCTTCACTCACCAAAAGGCGAACATCTTTGGGGCCCAGCAGCCAATCCTCATATCCCCAGCGAAGCATCCAAGCAGTTCCCATAAAGTAAACCAACACGCTTCTAAAGAAAACAATCTCCAACGTCGGCAGTTGTTCTGCAGCCTTGGTCATGGCCTTGACGCCGACAGACATGCAACAGAACAGGCATGCAGCGAAAAGCATGTAAAAGAGTCCCAGATTCGTTGCAACAAAGGTTTGAAAAGCAGTTTTCGGTGGCTCCAAGGAAGATGATTTGAGAATAGTGGGGTCCTGCTCCCCACTTTTCTCCTTCTCTTCATGCAGTGTCTTGGCCGATGCATTGGGATTCACAAGCTGGTCGGTATCTCTTTCCGAAAATGCTTCCTCTCCCTCTTCTTCCTCTACTGCAGCGTCGCCTCCGCTCTCAAGTTCGCGAGCCTGGAGACCCGCTTCCTGGCTGGGCGTCCGAGGAACATGAACAGGGGCACCACCGGGTTTGCGATAGATTCTTGACTGCTTGAGATTGCCAATGCTACCGCGGGGTGTGCCTGCCGTGTCAAGGAGATCGAGTTGGGATATGACGACAAGGTCGGCGGTTGAGTCCATCTTGTTTTTGACTGACTTTAGTCTTTTGACGTTTGTTGGATTAAATGGCTCGTCCCAAGCTGTGTGTCAAATGGAATATCGTGAGGGAACAAAATGGGATATTTAACAGTAGTTTCTATAGCCCACATTTGACATCCACCCATGTCTGTCCAGAAATCTGTTTACATGCGCTACATTAGAAATTCTTTTTTCATTGGTGATGTGATTCCACGGATGACCCCTAAAACGTCCCTATTATTCACCATTGCTGGAAGGTAAGCAACGGCGATTTCAACTTGCCGGCAGATTCTAATACTAGTTAGTTTCCTTTCTGGTTATAGGTCGGGGATTCGCTTCTAGATGTTGGAAGTTTCCTCCATTTCTTTGATTTTGTCTTTGCTGCTTAAAGAAGCCCCAAGATATCAACAAGACACTAAAGTCCAAGATAGAATCGATGCGAAATGTGGGTCTCTACAATCTAGTGTTTTGTCGCATTTCGTGTTGCACGGGGATATCGCCTACTTTACTGTTATTTGCTTCGCTATTGAAGATCAGCAATGCATCCGAGTCACGCCAAAAGTCGCTATCTCAGCAGATACAATAACCACTTTGCACTGTGCCTAGTGTTTGAAAAGCGTACTGTCAAATGTTTCTTTATATTTACGATATCCAATTTTCAACCCAACATTTTTCCCCAACCAAACGCAAAGATATATACAACAAACACAATAAACTGTTTGTACAATAAAAAACGATGCGAATCAAACAAGCTCCCACTTCTACTCAAACGCGCCTTCTCTGCATACACCCCACTCGCAAGCTCTCATTTCATCCTCGACACGGCCCTCCTCTTCAACACGGATGCTAATTCTTGCTCCCCGGTTGTTTAACCACGGGTAAGGAGGATTCGGAACGGGAACGTCAAACTCAATTGGAGAAGCACCTTCGGCGGCTGGTGCAATGCCAGATACTGGAGGAGCAATAGAAGCCAACACGTCAAGTGGGTTGACAACTCGGGGGCCACGACGTGGGTAAGAAGGTTTCGTTTCAAACGACGGTGCTTGAATAATCGTGTCTGGTCTCCGTGAGGGAATGCTTGGAAGGGAGTCAATGGGGTGAACGGAATGATCCCCTGGTATTTGCTGATAGGGCGCTTCCATGTAGGAAGGACTGGGTGAAGCAATGGTGGCAAGCATTTTGGATGTAGTGCCGGGTATCAAGCTGGAGGTAGAAATGACAGGGCGATAGGATGACAGCTGCGAGAATCTCGTCCGCATTGATAAACAAAAGAGCAGCTCAAGATGGAAATTGATGCAAGAAGACCTCCTTTTATATGGCCCCCCAGAGGAAAATAAAAAACGTGACAATAAACAAGGCCAAACCAAAGCAAGTGTTGAGCAATTCCCCTTGTAAGTCCCTTGTGTTTACGTCATTTACACTCATGATTAGAATGAGCATTCATTCCAATTCCAACGCATTCCATGGAATTTACATGAAGAAAGCCTCAAAAGAATAATCACATTCATATGCATTAAATGACATTTCTACTCTTTGTCATGATGATATCATGAGAGACACTTTGTGTTTTTGTTTCTTCTTTGTTGTTTCTTGTTTCTCCGTGCTTGTTGTTTAAGCGCTAAGTCACTTGTCCGCACAGCAAAAGGCTCAGTTTTCCTTTGGCCATCTTGACCGCCTGGCGTGAACAGCAAGGACAAAGGAATAAAACATTTGCACAAGCAATTTAAAAAACATTTGGGAAAATGGATACGTGAAAAGAATAAATTCCTCCTCTTTGATGCATAACGACAAAAAAAAAGCTATCAACTATCTAAATCAACAAAGCCTTGTAAATGAAAAAAAGAAGGGGGGTGCATATACAAAGCTCCTTGTCCAACAAGCCAAACTACTCAAGTTGCAGACAGAGAGAACAAGGTCTACATGATTCACCTAGCCCTAACGACGACTGGTACGACGGACAGTAGTGAATCCATCATCGTGCGGTGGTTGATCAGATCCTCGCTCACGCTCACGCTCCCTCCATCTGCTGCCAGGTGCCGCCGAGGATGGTTCAACTCCGTTAGATCGCGGCTCTTCCGCTTTTGAACGCCATCCTCCTGTGCCAGGTCTCCAGGCTCCAGAACGTTCCTCACGGGCAGGTTCGCGGGGGGCATCACGGGCAACATCGCGAAGAGTATCACGTAGGGGTGCTTGATCCTCCCCTGCCTTTTGTCGCCACGAGCCACCACCAGGTCTCCAAGTTCCCGGACGCTCTTCTCGAGGAGGCTCTTCGCTGCGAGGAGCTTCCGGGCGCCGCCACGCGTCAGGCTCTTCTCTCCTTGCCTCCTCACGAGCTCGCCATCCTCCTCCTCCAGACTCTTGGCGACGTACCGGTGGGACGTACTTGCCTCCCGTGGCACCGCCTGCGGCAGAGACGGGTACTGGTGCAGGCGCAGGTTCACGTCTGCGCCATTCAGACTCTGCGGGTCGCGTAGGCGGAGCTCGCAGTTGCTCCCTTTCCCGTGCAAGGCGCTCTTCAATAGCTTGCTCGCGTTCCCGAGTCTTTTGCGCAACCTCCTCCAATTTTCTAACGGATTATAATCAGATGAGTTTAACCTATTCTTGTTCTCAGACACGGTTGCAATTACTAGGTACCTGAGGCGCTCGGCTTCAGCTGCATGCTGGGCTTCCTGTCGAGCTGCTCTTTCTTCTGCTTCTCGAGCTTCCTCTGTAAAAGCGATACGCTTCGATATAAATAATCCGAGGCACTATCAAGGGCAACCTGTCCGGTTCTTACCTTCGGCGCGGATCCTGGCCAGCTCTTCTTGGCGGATCCTCTCCTGTTCTTCGTGTTCACGACGGCGCAGTTCTTCTTCCTTACGCTGCTTGTACTCTTCAATCCTCCGCTGTTTAGCTTCAGCGAGTCGCGCCTCGGCATCGGCACGGATGGCTTCGTACTCGGCGTTCCGCTCGGCAGACATGCGCTCCTTCAGAGAACGGTAATCATCCAACATGCGGAGCATGCGGGATTTCTGCTGCATGGCTTCCTGGTGCTGAACTTTGGCCGCCTCGCGCTTTGCCTTAATGAGAACCTTGTAGGAGGCCATGTCGGTGACCTTTTGTTCCTCGTAGTCCTTGTCAAAGAGAGGAATTTCCTCCTTGCGGTAGGCACGCTCAATGTGATCAAACTTCTTGCCAATGGCCTTCAGCTTATTCTGCATTTCGCGCTTCTCCTTTTCAAGTTGCTCAATTTGGATTTGTCTGAGACGGGTAGTGTCCAGAGTTTCGAGCTCCTCCTGTTTGACCTTCACATTCTTATCCTTGAGATCCTCCGCAAGCTTGGCGGCGAGCTTGGCAGCCTCCTGTTTTTGAATCTCCAAACGATGTTGAAGTAAACGGTCCTGCTCACGCTTCTTAGATTCCTCCTCCTGCCTAATTTTCTCCGCCTCTCTCTCCTTCTCGAGACGCTCTTTCCTAGCCTCCTGCTCGGCCTTTTCCTGTGACGCCATCCCATTGATAAGTATCAATCGTACTTTCTAATCGATGACTTTAACTTACTTTAGCCATCAGTTCATTCTCACGAAGCTCCTTCTTTTTCTCAATGAGCAAGCGCCTCTGCGCGGTCTGACGACGCTCTTCCTCGAGACGTTCAACGGCCTCCGCGAACGCTCGCGCCTTGGCTTCTTTCTTAACCTGAACCACGCGCTCTTCTGGAGGTAGAGTCTGCGACGTCATGCCAATCAAAGCAACGGCAGTGTGAAGGCGTTTTGCGAGACGCGTAAGTTGGGTACGCATTTGCTCAGATGGGAGTGACTACAGAAAATACTCTCAATAAAAGGGCCAGGCAAGGGAGTCCAGTGTGCACTGCTTACCTGCAGTTGAGGTCCTTCAGAAATTGTTCCCCTTGAAGCCGCAAAGACATCTGTCTCAAAGGTAAGGGTCTGCGACTGATGATTGACACGAATAGATAGCTCGCCCTTTTTGCAGCCGTTCATGATAAATTTCTCAATGTGGTGAGCGCTGTAGCTAAAAGGTTCGGGGAACGACGCCAATTTGACCACCGAGTCAATTTTGATCGTGGTGTAGACTTGCGACAACTAATGCGCACATAGAGATAACATTAGTTCCAGTCAACCTATTAATACATAAACGCTGTACCAACCTGCTGTAAAAGGCGGGTCAGAATGACTTGGTGCAAAGGCTCCACGTATGTTGCCAGATCCTTGTCTTCCTGGAGCTTGGGCAGAAGATGCGCAATCTTTTTGGTGATCGACAGTGGGTGAAACTGAACTTCCAAAATCTGGTAGAGTTCTTTCAGCTCGGGACGCACACGAGCGAAGACGGATTTGCTGAGGGCTTCCTTCAACAGAATTTCACGAGTGGGAGTCCGGGAGACACGAAGGAGATTCGCCAGGCGTGCTGTCTTTGGCTTGTTCTCGTCGCCATCCATGTACACACCGCGAGTCTTTGAGGTTGTAATAATGGGGATGGCAAGCGCAGACATCAGCACAATGGAGGCCATTCGTTCGTGTTCCTCCTCGCTCAAGTTCTTGTTCTGGCGCACGGTGCCGTAGTACTTATTCCATGCAGCGGCGTGGAACATGTAGTTCTCCCCTACCATGAAAATTCTGGCAAGCTTTTCGTAGTAGTTCGCCATCATGAAGGGCTTTGGCGGCTTCTTCGACATTGCCAACAGGTTGTGGATGTCCTCCACAGACCGGAATGCCTCTTGCCACAATTGAAGCTCTGTAGCTGCGTTCAACTGCACAAAGCGAGTGTCCAAATGGCGTTGGAGGGTATCAGGGTCATTCAAGTTGATAGCATGAGCCTGGTGAGCGTATTTGGCGGCAGTAGCCAGGTGCTGGCGAAGGAGCTCGCACAGCCGACGGAACTCAGTTTTGCGCGTGTACTTTAAGCAAAACTGGAAGGCCTGGTTGGCCACCGATTGGTATAAAATCTCCAAGCGGGCATTGTTCCTCAGAATGTCCAGCGCTGTTCGGTAGGCCTCCCACAAGAACTTTAACCAAGGAGTCACCACCTCTCTGTCCGTACGGTCCTTGTCCACTTCAGCACTGACAGTGCTTAAAATGATAGACTCCGGAGTCTCAGAGGCTTCCAGATCTTCAACAGAATCCAATGTAATCTTCTCGGCTTTGGCTTGTGCATCGGCCACCTTAGCCTCAGACAGCTCAATGAATCGCTTGATCACTTGCTACATACGCGACAGTCGTTAGTTCTTGCTGAACTATTATTCTGATGCTAACAATAACAACAAACCTCAATGCTCGCCACCGTAATGTTTTGAGAAATGTTCTTATACTGGTGAAGACCCTCCTTGGCAGTCTTTCCCTTGCGAAGGTTAACACAAAGCTCGACAAACTTTAGCATAATCGGCTCAAGAGTCCCCAAAGGAGTAGACCTTGACCGTTTCGACATGACAATTTCATGAAGAAGGGTCAATGCCGACGCAGGCTGGGACACTGCAATAAGGTCTACAAAAGAAGTCACAATTGTCAGCAGAGCTCCCAGGATTTCGATTACCTTGCCCAAACAAAGGATGGTCCTACACACCTTCAGCCCGCTTGAGAGCATTCTCGGGCCTGTTGTAGAATCGCGACATGATTGCGCAAAAGGCCTCTTTCCTCCCCCGGTCACAGAAAGAGAAAAGAAGCTAGAGAAGCGTGGGTAACCTCTGTCAAAGGCGGAGACAGGGGATACCGAGGTCGATGAAGGGGTTGAGGCGTAACCGGTGACCTCTAATGTAGCAGATGCTCCTCCGTTGAACAGGAGGGATGTGACGGATCCGCAAGGTGCTGTTGGCAGAACCCTCACCAGCTCGACAAGGGAAGAAAACCGGCTACGCGCAACAGTGGCACAGCCATCTTGAAATCATGTGACTGTGAGTTGGCCTTCACCACAAAGTTAAACCACATCACGGTGGATTTGGGAACTTGGAAGATAAATCAAGGCAAATCAACATTTATATTAATAGCCATCTGAGCAATACCATCCTTGTCAAGATACATATCCACCCTCCAATAACCTAAATCCTAGCCCAAAAAACAACATCATATAGCATTGAACGGAAGGCTTAAACAGACAAACCTCGGGAAACAATAGCTGCAAAATGCTTTCCCTGGTGAACACCAATATCAAGTTCCTTCTGAGATGGTTGACGAGATCCGTCACCGCCTGCAATGGTGCCAGCACCATAAGGACTACCCCCAACGACCTCAGTATTGTCATGCAGAATGGGAGTTGTGTACCCTGGGGGTATTGACAAAGTCATTCGTTAATCACTAGAGTATGAAGAGGTACCGTCACATACATACCTATGGGCACGTATAAGATGCCATGATGCGCAAAGTGTGGAAGGAAAGAAAAGGCTGTGGTTTCCTGTCCTCCATGCTGTGTCGCAGTTGAAAAAAAGAGACCGCCGTATTTTCCTAGTTGTATTGGTACGAAGTTGAGGAAATGAGAACCTGATACCATTTAAATCCTTCCTGGACGACATACCAATCAAAGCCCCCTTTTGCCAAAGGTGCCCAGTTCCATCCCAGAATGTCTTGATCTGAGCGGGTTGGGTGCCATATCGCGTACTAGCAGAGACAAGTGTTACTTCAAACCCAAAGAGCGCTTTACGTATGCCGAACTTACGGAATTCCAAACAAGAGGCCGTCCGCTTCCACCATTTGCTCTGGCTCAATGATTGGGATGTCCTCGAATTCCGTACTTGCATGCATCTTCTCTAATACTTCTTTGGACAACGTCTCTCTGACACGCCAGAGCTTTGCTTCAGCTCCACCTTCCTCCAGCCCCTTCAGGATTGCATCCGCAAGCTTCTTGACATGTCCCCAGTTCGAATGGATAATCACGTAAATCTTGGGCTTCCGTGCAGGACTTGGTTTTGCAGGAGCCGCTACTTGATCTGTCGGTGGGCTCGATTTGAGGGCATCTGCATCTGCACTAGCATCGCCCGTTGCAGTGGCAGCACCTGTTGCGGTTTCGGCCTTTACCTCAGGCGCAACAGGTAGCGCCTTTTCCACGGCTGGTGCAGACGACACAGGTCCAACGGTAGAATCATGAGGAGCTGTTGCCTTTTGCGCGTCCGTCGCAGGACCTGCAGCCTCAGACGTTGGCGCATTCGATGCAGGTGTACTAGGCGCACCCGGAGCTGGCGTGGTGACCGCACTGCCTTGAGCGTCCGCACTTGTTTCTGCTGATCTGCGCTTGGTCTTTGCCTTTTTCAGAGTTTTACTGATTTTCCCGCCCATATTTCAACTAGTGTTCGTTTTTCGTCAAATATGTGGTGGGCCTCGGTGTCGACAATGTTATGTTTGCCACTTGAGAAAAGACAGCAAGGTCATCAGCACCGTATGAGCATTTATATCTGGGCAGCAATCAGCAAGGCGAGTTTGTCTCCTCCTTTAAAGCGAAAATCGCCGTTTCCCCCGTGTAATTTTCAAATAGACTCAAGTTATCTTTACTCATCTTGCGCGTGCTGGCTTCGAGCGCGACCGCGCAAATGAGTCGATCGAATGACGGATTGTGCATTAGTCAGCAATTCGGGAAGGTGCACACGTGATTACCAGTTGGGATTTGGTGCGCATTGGAGTTCTTGTGGTCTTGTAGAGCGATGTGAGACAATGTCACCAAGTGGAGAACAGTGCCGGAATCAGAGGATGTCGCCTTTCGGATTGGTTTCTTAGGAAGCGGAACGAGGTATTCTGAATCTACGTACGGAACGAGTACGAAATGAGTACGAAACGAGGCTAGAACACTTGAACATTGAAGTCCAGTCTGGCGCTATGAGTAGATAGGTATTGATCACATATCGCCAGCAAATTAAGGAATAGAATACTTATTTTGATGGGAAAATCGGTCGAAAGCGTTACTACAGTTGGCTGCGTTTATTGCAGTCATGCATATCCAGAAACTTTTGAGCATGAGGCCGAAAAGCCACGCTTTGTCATGGCTTGTTCAATGTGGTTGATCACCTGATACGACGGCTTAGTAGCAATGACCAACCTTAACCTCACACAGTTCCTTGTCGATCCCCACATTTGAACAATGGCCGAAAACCCAAGCGCCGTCCGCGGGACCCTTCCCGAGTGGCAGATAAATACTGACCTACGCCCTCCGAGCCGCTTTTCTTCTCCCAAAAGATCTGCGCCCAACGTGAACTTCATGCGACAACGCAAGGATCACAAACACAACCTTCAAACCATCCGCGATCCAGCAGAGCTGAGGGCCCTTCTTGCACGTACAGAAGATACGCTGAAGGACAGGTGTGAACCTGAGTACAAGGCTACAGTGCTTGGAAGGTTTTCGGTGGCAAAAGCGCCTTACACTGTGATGCTGTAGTGCCTTGATATCGGGTCTGTCGGATAAGGGCGAGAAATTGCGGCTCACTGCCGAGGCAATAAAAGCTCGTCTGAAAGAGATTGATGCTACTATGGAGCGTGGAGCGAACAACCAATTGAGTAATCCGCAGCGCAGCCCTCAAGGACAAGATGCGGACGCTGAAGACGAAGAAAACGATGTGGAACTAACCAACATGGAGAACCAGATGAGAAGGATGAGCATTCCATCAGATACTGGTGACAGAGAAATACATGAATTAGAGGAGAAGATGGGAGAACTACACGTGCGAAATGCCGCGGAAGGTTCTCCAGCTAGAAATGGAACACAGGGCCGACATCATCAATCACCATCAAAAGCTCACGCAAAGTCCCCAGGAGCGGTAGGCATCCTCTTGGGATTGGTATTCCACATCTACTGAGCCCTGCAATCCGTCACACAGAACAGTAAAGTAAGAGCGCTGCCGCTTGAAGAAGTGGTCCAGTTGGAAGATGAGCGACAGAAGCAGATCGAGGTATACCCATGATCCATAGCGTCAGCGTGTTGCAACCAAACTCTGACCGGTAGCCCTGGATCTATTAGAGAGCGCGAATTCAAGAGGCCAAAGAACGCCTCGCAAAATCATCTGCTGTTCGGTTTTCAACCAAACCAATGTATAGTCATACCCATGTTGTACACCGGACCCTGCCCCAGTTTGCAACTCACGTGGTATTTTCCTTAGGCATACAGATGAGGACGACGAGGAGAGCGAGGACGATGACTTTGACTTTATTTGATTGCCTCTTGACTATACAAGTTTTGAATTAGTACTGAATGGTACGATCAATATCGTGTACTTGTCGAATGCACGCACAACCATGTAGCCGCTTTCCGGAGATGGGACTTGTCTTATTTATTCGATCACCATGATTGACCATTCACTACAATTGATAATCGGAATCAGCGGATTTGATGTCCATACCCAGCTTAGATTCTGAAGAGCAATGAGGTATCCAAAGTTGTTTGACAAAAGATAAAACTATACGCCGAATTGGTACATTTTGATCATAGCGAAAGGGTCACACAGATTGTGCATGCAAAGGCAATCCGCTCCGCCCAGAATACTAAACAAAGATGATTCTTGCCGCGCCATTAACTGTTCCGACTTCAACCTTTTGTTCGCCATTCTCAGCCCCTTTCCATCCTGTCCGACGTCCGCCAATGCCCGGAAAATGTCCGGGTCTGCCAGAGTCATCAAAATGCAGATCACTCCCTTCCACAGTGACACGGCCCATCTTCGTTGATGCAGCAAAGTGGCCGGAAAAGCTGTCCGGAAGGGAGACATGAGCTACACCGTTTGTGGTGTGGACCGAAATGGTTTTGGGATGCTCGTCAGAGGCGGGAAAGGAAAGTTTTATCCCGCCATTTGTTGTTGTTCCTTTGAACGATGCCTTTGAGATGACATCACCCTGGATGGCGCCGTTTGTGGTTTGGAGTCCAATATCCGCCCCATTGATGGTCTAACAACACAAGAGAATGGTTAGTCGTCTTCCAGGATGGAACAGCAGTAACATGTGCTCACCTTGACAATGTCAATGGCACCATTAACAGTTATCAATTCCACGCCCCCGAATTGCACGTCCCCCATATCCTCGACTTTGATGAAAGCATTCCGACCTTTCACTTTAAGCGCGAGACGTTCGCTCAAGGAGGTGGGTAGGGTGAGACGTACATCTGACAATATGCATCGTCCATCCAGCCGGTCCGGTGTTTCCACAGTGAACTGGAATGTACCGGATGAAGTAGTTACTGCGGTAACGTGTATGTCGCGAATGAGCTCTTCAGAGGCGAGACGAAAGTGGGCTTCAGCCGTGATTGTGGTAATCGAAGAAGATGTGCTTAGAGTAATTCCACCGCTCTGTAAAACGGGATGGACAGTGAGCACCATGCCCTTTTGGGTCGGGTGACAATATCCGATATAATTTGATTCCATACCGATGCGCCCTTGCCTTCTACCTCAATTGCCTGGACTTTACTGGGATCGGCATGCCATATCCCAGGCTCAGGAGTGTACTCAAATTCAGGTGGCTGGTGACAATACATTGGACGGTGTGAAGATTTCAAAACTGTTTGCAACGCTGTGACCTGTTTAGCAAGGCCCCGCAAGGTTTAAGCGACACATTCGTCTTCATAACAATTATGGTATCAGGGTACACTCACCAGAGGGTTCAGTAATAACGCCGCCATGGCTGCAACAACAAGAAGAGCACCCGCTTTGACAAACTTTGACGAACGCTGCCTTTCTTGGGGCACTGGTGATTGTGCAGCATACGGAAGGAGCAAGTCCTTCTCACTGAGGTACTGCTGCTGTTGGGAGTGCATGGTTTCTGAAAAACAAAATGGGCAACTGGGCAAAAGAAGCGTTTAAATAGCAAACTGGTGGTTGACAGCCCCACGAAATAGATCTGATCGTGGACTCACGCGACTAAGCATGATAGTAAGCTTCCGGCAATTTTAAATTTCAGAGCAAAACATGATAGCAAATGCAACATCTGACAACGAGCAAATGCCTCCGATGAAGAATATGTACAAAGATTACTCAAGCTACGCTTTTGCTTAAGCGAGAAACAGTTTGCAACTTTGCCCTTTCCTCAGGTATAAGCTACAGCCGACGGAGGCCTGATGAAGTTTTTGATCATGCCATCCTCCTTTTTGTCAAAGGTTGCATATGCCTTGGGAATGTCCTCAAAGGCGGGGCGATGAGTAATAATGAACGAAGGGTCGATTTGGCCTTTCTCGATGCGACCAAGAAGGTCTTTCCAGTACCGTTGGCACGGACATTGACCACCGCGGATTAAGATGGCTGTTGAATTGAATCAATATCAGGCACTGACAGTTTCATGCGGCAACGAGCTGTCAAGTAGGAGTGCAAGACTGCACACAACTTGCCTTTCTCCATCAATGCACCGATGGGGAAGTGGTTAGCGTATCCAACGTAATCCGCGATGAGACCGATCCTACCGTACTGTGTCACAATGTAATTAGGATACTCTCTTTAGCTGGCTACTGCGAATTCATGAGAATACCTTGCGACAAGACCTGATGATTTCCTCCAAGATATCGACTGCATCAGTTTCTGCCTTGATGGTCCTTTCAACTTTATGGACCAACGTCTTGGAGTAGCGGAAACCCGTCGCATCAATGCAGGCATCCGGACCGCCTGCAAATAAAAGCAGATTAGCAGCTTAATAAAGTACAATTTGCGGGATGCACACCTACCTGGGAGCATTTTTTTCAAGGTTTCGACGACGTCAATGCCGTCTGGGTTGAGTGATTTAACACCAGGGTAGGACTCGGCCATCTTTCGCCGCGCTTCGACAGTTTCCACCACAACAACACTGGAAGCACCCCGAATCATAGCCCATCTAAAAAATGATAAGCCTCAGTGTGCCTTTATCTAAAGAGGATTTGTTGTAGCACATCACATGAGATACCTTGCAGAGAATTGACCAATGGGTCCGCCTCCCTGGTATCGTCGATATTATTACCCACACCAATTTTTCTTTTATATCAATGAACACTTACCCAAATTGCGACTTTATCGTCCTTACCAACTTGAGCGCATTCGTTGGCGTACCAGCTTGTGCAGGCAATATCCGATAAGAATAAAACTTTCTCGTCCGGAAGACTATCGGGAACGGGAAGGGTATTGATGTCGGCGAAAGGAACTCTGACGTATTCAGCCTGTCCACCGGGGTAGCCTCTAAAAATCGGCAGGTGAAAGCACACAAATGAGCAAAACAAATAATCCAATTCCACCCTGCTTGGAACACTATCTCACCCAGTCAAGTGCGAGTATCCAAATATCCCGGAAAGCCTATACCCGTACATTTTCTCCATCGTTACAGAGTCATTTGTTGTATCACATCCCGTAAATTCGCCCCGTTTGCAATAGTCGCATGTCCCACAAGCAATGTCAAAGCAAACCACAACGCGCTGTCCTTTCTTGCGATCTTTGACCTGATCGCCGACATCCTCGATAATCCCCATGAATTCGTGACCGAGAATATCGCCTTTCATCATCTCGGGAATCTCATTGTGATAGAGGTGTAAATCGCTTCCGCAAATAGTGGTGGCTGTTACACGGATCAGTGCATCCTTGGGATGAGTGACCATTGGACGAGGCACGGTCTAACATCATGGAGAACATATCAATCTTGTCGTGCTGTCCCATTTGAAGATCGTTCGCCGATATTTGTGAGCTTACCTCCACTCGAACGTCACAGGTTCCATAAAATACGTTAGCCTTCATTGTCCTGGTCGGGTCCCACTTGGGCATGATGGGAGTAGAAGTCTTGATTCGTTGTTCAGACATGATGGATAAACGTCACAAAGCAAAAGTAGAAAGTAAAGGCAGGCAAATGAGTTTGATCAATGGAAAAAAGTAGCAGTGGTTTTCAATGGAGGGCTCCAAAGACGTTGATGCGTTTAAATCAAGTGTGGGGAATGTTGCATCCAACTTGGTTTTAGTTTTGTCACGATATAAATTCTCAGCGAGCAAGCCCTCAGATCGTTCTCACCAGATACTGCCTGATCCCGAGATTACATGCGTAGGCATCATTAGAAAAGCCTCACAGGGTCCAGGTAAAAGAGCAAACAGGGGGAACGATCAATGAATCCTGTAGAATTTGGGTTGTCTTTGAGTGTGGGGAATGTACGTAAAGAAATGCCGTTTGCAAGCATTCCGCAAGCGCCTTCGAATGGAAGATGACACCTGTTGCGCGCAACTGACACTTTCTGACAATCACAGATTCAGAACTCGTTCACAAGGGTTCACTCTTAGCAGCGACAATGTCTTTTGTCAAAAGAAAACGTAAACAATTCAAACAATGTACTATGTAGGGTAAAAAGTTGAAATCGTACACAAATATAACAATACAAGGAAGGAAACAAAAGGAATAAGACAAGAAAAGAAGGAATTTCACACATCTCACAGTCCCGCAAAAAAAAAAAGTACTACCACAATCTACAAGTTTCAGACTGCTAACTTTTCTCCAGAATAACTATCAGCTGACAGAACTTCCAAATATTCGATGGGCATTCTCACAATGACATGTATTCATGTCCAAATCGAGTAGGTAACAAATGAACGTTGCGTCAACGCTACAGAATGAGTGTTAGCAAGGTCACCCTTGCGAAAACCATCCCTCCCACATCACTTACGTATTTTGCACTACGTGTCCTAGCACTTGGACCACGTAGAATGGTATAACGGTACCGACACCACCAACAACATATGCAAATGGACTACCTAGTCCGCGCGATGCGAAAAAGAAAGTCACAACGCCACATCCTAGGGCAATGGTGGCAGTGCCCATGAGTAGTATCAATCGGGTGACCGTGGAAGTAACTAGACCCAATATCAAGTTTCGACGGAATATGCGAGTGGTTCGGTAGGATGACACGCAGAAGGAGTCCCCACTCAATCCAACATATACTAGCGCGTATGAGGATACGTTGTCGGCTAATTGACCCCAACAATCCAAGCAGCTCGTTAGGAACGCGTGTATGGCGCTGTTATTCGACGAACGCTACAGTAAAGAGATTGGTCAAGTGCCTTTGTATGTTGCTACATGAAAGCCAGACTTACTCCGCGAGCTAACCGGGTTATAAATTGCATCGTTTGAATTATTCCAAGGATGAGAGATGCAAAGGCGATGCTACCAAATGACTTTGTGATGGCGGCCTTGAAATTCTTCAACGTTCGATCGGTAGAAAGAGCCCCTTCAGGTCTACTTCCAAATGCATGTTAATTGCTACACAACGACACAGCCACGTATATATTGCTGACCTTTGGAAGTACCATTCGCCAACAACTCCGGCAATAGTGACTTTTTCCACATTCTTAAAAATGGCCGATGTCCAGAAATACATTAACGTAAAGAATCCAGCAACCCAGCCAGTTCCGTTTGCCATGTGCCATCGCACCACGCCTGTGTTAACAAGGTTGCCTGTTGAGTGCCATGAGTGCTGCAGGAGATAAAATACACAATGCCTACCGGACGGATCGGTTTCCTTAAGTCCTCGAAGAAACAAGTGACTAAATAAGAACATCCAGGCGACAGCAAAGAGCATATACGTCGCAGTCAAAAGCACCGATACGACGAAAATTCCCGGATTCGTTCGGAGTATATCGCACGACAGCTGTCCAATTCACCGTTGATTATCAGTCTGGAACATCATGGAGTGCAAAGTGCAACTATTTCCTCACCTGAAGGATATGGATAGTTTGTTCAATCTCTTGCCGGCGATTGAATAGGAAGGTCGCCGAGGCGATACCGCCCATCAAAAAGCTTGTAGCAAGTACGATCATCCCATCGTATTGCACTCCAAGGTATGGGGCATCATGGGCCTTTCCAAGAATCGAGTTTGTAAGAGTCGCGGCAAAGAACCCGAGACACGTTACAGGTATTGCCAGAATGGTTATCACGACCACAGGCTACAGAAGGATCCCATCACAACTGTTGGTGCTTGGCTCTATCACGAGAAACATGACAAACTGCAGGAGACTCACCCTAACAAACGACCTCAACAAACTTAGCCAAGCAGCGCCGACGAGTACGGCCACGCCGGTAATCGCCGTCAGTAACCCTAAATTTAGCATACAATCTAAGTACATCTTTGCGGGTTGTCAACATGAGAGTATGCAGACATACCGGCAGAGTCCCTAATGGTAGTGTAAATAGGTCGGGGGAAAATAGAATCCAATCGTGCGTTCTGCAATCATTCACCACGGTCAATTTCATGGTAAGATATTAAGATGAGTGGGCATTCGCCGTACCTTTGTAGTAAAGAGAACCACAATCCCAGTTATTAACATTGTTATCAACGCAATACTGTATAAAACAGCAAATGGGATATCGCGATATCCTCTATTTCCAACATCAATGTACAACGGGACATCCTAAAGTCCGAGAAATCAGCACTGAGCACAAAATGAATCTCCTACGCATTTCACCGACCTCGTCCACTGGAAGTAGCTTTTCAAAAAGGGGATTCAAACCACTTGGTGGTTGCGGAATTTCCGCTCCAGGTACAGGTTCGGCATACGGGCTCGATAGAAAGCTGCCTCCCAATCCTGGCCGTTTGGGTTTCGACTTCAACTCATTCTCAACAACCATTCCCCCCGCCACAGGACTACCATATCGTGAAAATTCAATGGATTCCTCATCGTCTTCTTCCCCAGAATGAAACGAGGCGAAAGGAGGTGCCGAAAGAGGAATATAAGCCGCTCTCGACGGCTTTGTCATTCGAAGTCAGGAAACTTGTCGCAAGGCTGTAACTCTCGTTCTGCTTTTATTTCTTTTAACAAGTTATGCAGAATAACATGAGGCGCCGTCCTATTCCTCCGTGGGCACAGCGGGGAAACTGGTAATGCAAAAACTTGGTCAAGCTATCCAAAAGTGGCTCAGCGAAATTAAAACTTGATGATGAGAAAGCCGGGGGCTTGAGCGTAAAGCGAATAATAGAGTTTTGCTTGATAAAACGAAAGGGTTACGAGCGTATTTTACAGATTTTAGCTGGCTTGGTTAATGAGTAAATGGGCACCTTGGAAAATGGCGAACAAAAGGACTGCGAAGGGCCCCTGCGCAATGGATGATGATAAGTCAAATCGCGTCACGAGGCCCATCACGTAATCCAAACAAACTGACGTTTTGCAATCTCCTCGGTTGGCCTCATGTCCCATAGCGATATAGTGAACGATATAGTGAAGGTAAAGAATAAACTAGCGGAGAGCAGGTGGGGCCTGCCGTACATACATTGGTATGCCCCTTATTGCTATGTTAAGTAGCGTATATGGAAGACTGCATACGTAGGTGTGATGAGGAAACCATTGGCTGGATGTTGAGACTGTGGGGTTCAGGCAAGCTTTCAGCTCCCTAGCAAGTGACTTGGATCTGTATACAAAAAGTAATATCCATTGTCTATGCTCGCTTCCCACATTTTTCGGGTCCTTCTCCTGTTGAAGACGATACTGTATCGTAAGTGCTGTAAGGGAAATGTATAAAACCAGAAAGCCTGGAAGCGGCAAGGACGAAAGTGTAACTATCCAATATAAAGAAAAACTTAACCAAAAACAGTACAATTACGATACGGTAAATACGAAAATTACATGTGAAATAGAGCTCAGAGTACGGTGTTCCTCCAGCCTATGAAAGGTTGGATGCATCTGATCCATGAAATCACTCTGCACTCTACGATAAACTTCTGATTTTTTCCACCCACCAATAATGAGCCAATCATAACGACTTCATTCTACCACCTTGCCCTTGCCTTTTGCATCTTCCTCATAGCCAAACGGGTGCTGTGGCAGAGTTCCTGGTTCGTACTCTTGTGTTGGCCACTCGTTGGGCTGTTGTCGTTGAAGGGGGATACCATCGCCCTCTGCATTTCCATCCGTACCGGCACTTTTCGAAGCAGCTGAAGGTTCAGGATGAGAAAATAGTGATGGCGTCGATAGCATAGACTCCACAGGTGGTGCACTGGTATTTTGCCCAGCCTGCCCACCCGTCTCCGCCTCGTCTGCAACTTTTTCATCCATTTCAGCAACACCAACTCCCATTTCTTTGTTCTTCTCGGCCATTTCAATTAAGCCAGGAAGCTCTTTCTCTTTCTCTCCGACAACCAATCGGGGAATGCTAACGTGGTAAACCCCAATGCCAATGTGCTGGCGATGCTTTGGAGGCTCGAAACGAAGTCGAAACACTGCAAGCTCTGGAGTTGCGATTTTCTCGTCTACCACTGGATCACCGCTTTCCTGGCGTGTAATCCAGGAGGCAGGGACCACCTCATCGATCTCGCACCAGTTACGCCGAGCCATAATTTTACGGTGTCCCTTTTTGTTAGGATGGCCATCAACGTCGTGCTGGAAAATATGCACAAGTCCTTCGGTCGTATTTGGTACATTCAGCACCGGTTTACGAGAAGACGACCATTGGAACAATTTCAACACAATCTTTGGTGGTGGAATATTCCCAATAGCGGAGGATACAATGTTGTACATTAATCTGTCAAGGAAGAGCAACGTCAGGATGTGCATACAAAGTGATACTCGTAGGGGCTGCTGACCTTGGATCCTGCAGCGGTGGAATTTCGTATACATGCTTCGTGTCCCGTTTTAAATTCGCTTGAGTCCTAAACTGGGCGATGGCAGCACAGTGTACATCGCCGGCAATGATGGTAACACGAATAGA